GGTTATATATAATTAACATCCCCCCAACGCAAAAAAAAAAAAAAAAAAAAATACATCTTGAAAACTACCTATTCAAGATAAACAAGTCAAGCATGCAACGTTCGCACATGCGCTTGCACGTGGTTGAAGTTGCCCCTAGAAATATATGCGATCACCGCAGCCAAAGCAGTGGACACGTGGTGGTGGTGTTTACATTTAGTCACATGGGTGAAAAAGGTCTATACTGTACATGGCCTAACTACCAACCTAACCTGTTGACATACCATACATGTAGGGGGTTTCTGTGTTGTAATAAGGAAGATGTTTAGACATACTGCATTCTGTTGAATTCTGTATAGAGTGCATAGTGATGTCTTTACTTGGTTTAGGCTTAGAAAGTTTTAGTTACAGTTGACCGTACATGTTTGTGTTGTTGGGCCAGCTCAACTGCAGCTCTTGGGTATGATGCTACATGTTCATGTATATATAGTTAGTGCATAACAGAATCAGTTAAATGAGTAGGAAAAGCAGTCTTTGTGCAGCTTGTGTCAGAAAACTGAGTCTAAGTTACGTGTAATTAATCAACTAAAAGAAAATGTACATCTTGAGTCAGACTCCTGTTTAGGATGCCATGCAGTCTTCATTGTGACCCCCCCCCAGTTTCTATTCCATTTAGTAACCAGATCATTAACTGTCTCACAGATTGCAAAGTTTGACGACACAAAGGGCTTAAGCTCCACCCTAGTCTGGAACTGTCATGAGGTCTTTCAGAGCCAACAAGTCATAACTACACTTATGAATAATTGTGCCAAGATTGCTGACAATATCCAAAGCATAATCTGCCAACTGCTACCCGATCAGAAGGAAGAGACCAATGAAGGGAGGATTGAAGGACAAGTTACCAAGCAACCTGCTCACCTATCAGACAGGTAAATTATGTATTTCACAGAAAGATCACGTCAGTTGTCGTCTTCTTCCCTTTGTATTAAAAGAAAGCAATTTCATAAGGAAAATCTGAACTTTTGTTAATTAATAATTAAAAAAAATTGTCGTGTACGTTTTGTGCAAAAAGTGAAAGCAATTATTTAATCAACTTTCCATGAATGAGGGTGTTATCATTGTAAACTTTTTCCAGATAATGAAATTCTCAAATCATGAGGGAAAGTATAGTATATAAAATACAGCCGTTCATTTATACTGATCGGAGGTACCCTGGCTTATTTCACTTAATACCAACAGGGGCTTGCAAAAGTAGAAGTTGGAAACAAATTGTTTCAATCAAGTTGTTACTTATACTGTGTAGGCTTGGGCGGTATTGCCTTTTTTGATACCGCGTTATCCGTGAAAAAAATACCGCAGTATTTGCTAATACCGCGGTATTCATTGCAGAAGGCATTACGTCATCAAAAAGCAGCGGTGATGCTGACACTCAGCGGCAAAACAGAAAATATCTAGGGGCCAGCATAAAGGGTTTATTAACATCACAAAATCCCCATAAACTTAAAAAAATATTATAGTTTGTCTTTCCATTAGATGTCAAATAAATATTTATGAGAAAGAATAATAAAAACCGGACGGCGTTTTAAATACTGATTCGTTGCTCCGTGATTCCCATGTCCTATTGTGTGAAAATCTGCACAGGATGTGTACTACAGTCAAGTTGGTACCTGCTGGGACAGTGCAATATTGTAATGATTATGTGCCGGTCACCAGTGGCTGGTCCTTTCAGCTGTGCCCTAACACTGCGTGTGCAATAGTAAGGTGGCTTCCAGACAACTCTACGGCATGCCAGGCATTGCAAGCACAGTCGACTCTCGTTATTACGAAATTGGTTATAACGAAATTGTGATTATAACAAACAGAAAATCTGTGGTCCCGGTGAAAACTTGCACATTTTTATGAGGAGAAAATCTGTTATAGCGACATCGCATTGTATGAAATTCCTGGTACAACCAGTCAGTGTATGGTTTCTGCAAAAAAATGGTCATACGTTCCACTACACTGAATGCAGCTCTATAGTTGAAAGTTGAAAAACACAAAACAAAATTTTCTGCAGGTTCATTCACAAAAATTGATCTCATGTCTATGTTTGTGTTTTCTGTGTTCATGAATTTAATTTGAAGTTGTTATGCTTGTACTCAAGCGAGCAAATGATCGTTGATTGCTGTGGATGTCGAACAGATGCAGATTTTTGAAATCATTTTTATAGTTAATAACACACATCCCTGGCTTCGGTTGGATAAATTTTCACATAATATTTGTACATGTTTTATATAAAGGACAAAAAATACCCAAAGAAAGCACAAGGCTAGCACAAGCACCGTTGGCATTTTCTGATCTGCCAATAAAAATCTTCTGGAAAAAAGTCCAGTGCTGACACAGAAGATCTGCTGATTTTTAATTCCCGAGCTGTAGGGCTGTGATACAGGTACATGTATACATGTGCCAACGAGTAATACAAGAAGCACTGCCTACAAGCTATTCCAAAACTGCAAATTTGAAGGCGGCGATAGGGAAACAAAACCTTTTGACTGGCAGGTTGGTGGCTGCATGCTGAAATATCATGTTACATCTTATCTCCTCACCAAAAGAGACAATACAAACTAAATGCTGGTTGACTGAAACCACAAAGTATGCAGTCACTGTTGTGGATATAATTGTCTGCTTTCATCTTAAGAGGGTTGTGGGAACATTCTGAACAAATTAGCCAGAATACTGCGGTATTGAAATTCAATACCGAATTAGCCGGTATTCCGGTATTCATGGATTGTTAGTCGGTATTGTTCGGTATTTTTAAAAAACGCGGTATTTGGTAATACCAAAATACCGCCCAAGCCTAATACTGGGCAAGATTTGTCTCAGTTCACAGTCTTCATTAAGAAATGAATATGTATGTCTTACAAATGGATGAATATTTTTTACATGGTCCAACACAGTCATTCAAAGATTGAGATGGTTGATTCTAGGGGTGTGCATTTACAGCTATTTTTGGAATTGGGTATCTGTTTTTTGTTAAGAGCGGGTACTGGGTACCTGTAAGAGAGAACTCTAAATAACAAATGGCATTACCCACAACCCCAGTAGACCATGTGCCCCAAACAGGGCTCTTTTTCATACACAGGAAGAAGACAAAATTCCTTCAGCCTCTTGATCACCGGTTTGGTACAGTCATCGCGAAAATTATTCAGTATGATTGCACCTACAAAAGACTCAAATTCCAGTGAAATATGGTCAGTAGTCAGTCTTGCCCTTTGGAGATACTTCAAAATTATTTTCAAAATCACATACATGTATCTGCTATGCGTGTAGTTGCCCGTGTAGTTGAGTTTGCAACAAATTTGTGTGCAAGTAATGACGCGCAATCTGAAAGTAGGGGGAAAAGCTTTCATTTTTCGGTCTATTTTGAAATAACGAAAACTTTAAAAGTCACTTTGATGAAACAGACGTTAGATGCAAAAGGTTATATGACTGTTCATATGTGTATAAAAAAGTGTTTGGAATTGCACGTAGGGAGAGACCTATCACCCTGCAAATTTTTGTTGTTTCGCTTCCATGAACTACAAAAAATCCGGAACTAGGAAAATGACTGTAGTACAACAGGTGGAGTGTGTAATCAAAGTAGCTGTCGATCTCTGATCAGAACTGCAGTTACTGTACACGTGTGATCGCGGGCCCGGTTTTCAGCGACACGGTGATTTTTCAGCAAGTCTGCCTTTCAGTGTTGGATTTCACAGATATTTTATACATGGATTTTTGTTCCTAATTAAATATTTTTAATGGGTACCTGACCCAAAAAATGGAACTGGGTTTTGACGGGCAGTTACTCGGGTACACATACATGCACCTGGCACAGGCCAAGCTGATACAAGTTAATTTTTGTATATTATGGCGTTGATGATTTAATCTGGACATTGATTTTAGTTGGCTTCTCCCTAACTGCTTCTTGAATCTTGTTTTATTTCCAGACTGGTCCTGAAGCCTTACCAAATGATTGGTCTCAACTGGTTGGCCCTCATACACAGGCAGGGAGTTAACGGCATTCTAGCTGATGAAATGGTTGGTCCATCATTCATTATAAATTTGTTTTCATTTTTTAGTAAATGTACCTGCATATTGTAACATTATTTATTTTGACATCAACCTCAAGTGGCCACTGATTCTTTGTTATTCATTTGCTGGGCTCATATTTGTTTCATGTTATTATTTTATTACCAGAAACTTTTGCAGTTTCACATGCTTTCCGAAGAGAAACCAATTTTAATAAGAAATATTAAATATTGTTGCAGTGAAGGAAAAGCTAGTTGGATTTTTGCAAAATCATTTCAATCATATGGTGCATTTATACATTGGTATAATTCTGCCTCACGTTATAACGTATTTGTGGAAAATTGTCTGAATCTGTTCAGTATTCTTGTTTGATCAGTTTTGTGCTGTGCTGTGTCACTTAATACAATTCACTTTATTTGTACAGTTTTGAAAGTCATTACTTGGTCTGAAGCTTACCAAAGGTCCTGCAAGCAAAATGCATGTGCTCACAACATGCACATCACAATTACATTAAAGAAGGGTGATTTTCTGAAATAGAAAAGGATAAGCTCTTGGTGATAGCCACCTTTTTGCATAAAATCAGTCAAATCAATTACATGTATGCTCAAAATAACGGTATGTGCCAAAATACTAAGTACACATACTTTCCCATTAAAATTCAGCATATAAAATATCAAGCAAAAATTGCTGATAATGATCAAAAGTGCAGTTCTGAATTTTTTTAAATAAAATCTTCTTTTTTTTTATTTGAAGCACTGATTTATTTTTGAATTTAATGACATATTTTACTTTCTTTTGTGGCATTAGTAAATGTTTGTATACACCTTGACCATGATATGTGTACATGTACATTATGACCTACATGTACTTACCCATGGGTAGACTGCCCAGTAGCTTCCCCACACAGCAAACCTTTCAAAATAAAGTGCCATTTGCAAGAATACAAGACATGATTGAGAAGTTCTCACAAAGTACCTCGTTTGTTGCATGTAGTAAATAATAGTAGCAATCATTCTGTGAAATTGTTGTGCCTGATATGCTGTTACATCTTATTTTCAAGAAATCATGAAAAATTCAGTACCTTTAAAACGAAATAAAAACCCAGCACAATGGGTGTCTGAGATCAGTTGAAATGATTCATTCGTATTACTCAAAACTTGCTGTAAATTCTTCTTCAAAAAGGCAAATGGGCACATATTGTTGAAAGATGCCCAAATTTGGGTGATGACTATTTGAAAAAAAAAGCATTTCACTAAAGCTTTGAGTACAGTGGAACGTCGCTATAACGAACGTGATGGGGTCCATACAAAATGTTTGGTATGGTGGTCATTCGGTATAAAGATTTTCAGTCACGGATGCATGCATCTGTTGTGAAGTCTGATCCATATTCAAACGTGTGCCAGCCCGCACCACAAAATGCTTCCTTAAAGGATTTTAGGCAAAATCTACACGCAAAAAGGGTAAAAACACCCCCAAATGAAAGAAAATTATAAGTTTTATTATAAGTTTTTATTATGTTAATCTCCTTTCATGTTTCACCTTTGGGGTAGTTGTCACTTGAAGAAGAATCACAAAATGAAATCAAGTTTTCTTGGAGTCATCAGTTAAAAATCACATGTGACATGTAATGTGGTTACCCTGGTTCCTTTTGGTAAAGGGCACTTCAACAAAGGGACCAAGTCAGGTACTATGTACATGTCCGAAGTAGGCAACAAAATATCAGGCAAGCAATTTGGATCGAAACTTGAAAGATTTTGAAGATTCTGAGTCAAGTAACCAATGCTACTGTCTTTCTGCACATTTATTACGTGTACCTCTTTTGGGGGTTTGCAGAGCTCAAATCTGCCGGCTTTGTAGCAATGACCATGTAAGATTTTCCAAAGAAATGTTTGAAAGCTCATACAAAACATGCACATAGAGCACTTGAACCCACACATTGATACATGACACAATAACTTTGCCAGTTGTCATGAAACCCTGTACTGTATCTGTGAAAGTGAAACTGTACTAACTTTATTTCAAGCCGTAAATTCACAGTGAAATATGTGCTACTTCTGCTCATGCAGGAACGGCTGTAATGAAACATTGATACAGCATGCAGCTAAGTACGATAAACACTGCAAACACTTCCGTGACAGGAAGAGGGCTCGGTAGAAAGCATTGGAATGCCTAGCTGACAAAAAAAGAAAGATGACATCAAATCAACATTCTCATATTTAAATGGCCATTTCAGGTTTTATGAGTCCAATTAATTTTTAAAAAGGGTAATTTAGAAAATGATTAACAAATGATAAAAAAATAAAAAATTTAAAAAAATGCCCATTCACACGCCTGCATTCAAGCAGTCAGTCAGGGTGTTTGTTTTACTGGTTTTTGAGGTTACAGTGATTTGAATACAGGTTGAGGTAGTTGCAATATATGACCATTTCATTGGCCAATAAAACTCAAGTACAAATATCGAGTTCAGAAATACACAGATTTTTGTCACACATTTGATGAATACTCATCCAAACACCTCATGAGAATGAGAAAATCACATGATCACATTCTGAATGCATAGCTATTTATGATGTAGACATTCTTGTTTATTTAGGGTCTTGGCAAGACGGTGCAAACGATAGCCTTCTTAGCTCATCTGATGGAACAAGGTGATGGAGGGCCTCATCTCATTGTAGTTCCTTCATCCACTCTAGGTAAGGAGCGTCAACCTTGGCTGGATAGATTAGCTCTGGACTTTTAAATGAAAAGGGATTCTTGTTTAAATATTCATGCATGAAATTCTGATTATAGTTTTAAAATTTCATTACTAAGCTTTTGTGGGGCTTGCTGCCCACTCAATAAAAAGATTGCTAATACTTGGGCAATAAGTTTGTTTTTGGCTGTCTTAAAACAACTATGTTAAACACTGGCTGGGCTGATAATGACCCAAGTTCAAGGTGAGGATCGTCATCACTACTTCGCCTTCGGCTTGGGTCATTATCAGCTTCCATAGCCTAGTCATAATTATTATCATTTATTCTGAAATCAATCAACTCAATGACAAGTCCACTTACAAACAAACAGGATACAGTTGATTAATTCTGGGATAGCCAAAAAAAGCCAATTACACAGGTTTGTTTCCATTGGGGTCTTCAACATACTTATTTAAGACTAACCAGACACATTTTACCCCATTCATGCACACTTTTTTGCGTAATTCATCAAAAATGCCCAAAATATTTGCACGTAAAGTTCAAGGTTTCACCATTTTTAAATTCATGTTCAGAGGCCACTGTCAAATGATTTGCTTCTGCCTTAATCTCTCCACACTAATACAATAAGACAACGTGCAATTTACAAACTGGACCATCGACCAGACTAAAATGGCCATTGTTGCAGTTGATGGGCCAGAGAGCTATTCGGCAAGAAAATAAAAATAGAAAGGTTGTGCATGGCTTCCATCTTTCCACCTAGTGCTTTCAGTATGGAGGACATGCACAAAAGGTCTACACCTGAGTAAATCAGGTTGTGATGCTGTATCAGTAATGACTGAGATCAAAATAAATAACACACTATCACTGAATTACTGATTGCAAGTTTGTGTCCATGTGAAAGTTTCAGTGGTAATGTTTATCAGTATCACATGGTAGATTTCCAGGAATTGGTTTCACTTTCAATCGTTATTGCATTCTCAATACATGCACACAGTAAAAATTTCAAACATTGAAAATATATTTAACCAAGGCATTAACCAAGTGAAAGTAGAGAGCTTTTTCCTGCTGTTGAACAAAGATTTTGTGCATTTTAAAAGTCGGTTACATTTATACCCCACCAAGACAAATTTTCATGGCACAAGTACATGCACAAGTATTTCAGAAGAAAGGGAAAAAGTAATTAGTGTAAAATGAACATATCAAAAGAAACACAGGGGATTGGTAATGTAAACAAGCCATGCTTGTGGAAGTTTTCTATAAGCCATGTGACCACAGTAGCTAGCTTTTTGGTCCTGGATTAATATGTAGGTCCTTAATTAATGTTTCGTGTATTGTTTGTTTTAAAACAGTTATTTTGTATTTTGTCATTATTAGAAAACTGGGCAAGAGAGCTTCATACATGGTGTCCAGCACTGGAGGTTATCTTATACACAGGAACAGTGGAAGAGAGAAGGGAACTCAGGGAAAATATACTGAATGAATATTTGACATGCAATGTCATTGTCACTTCGTAAGTATGATAAAAAAATGTCTCTGAAATCACTTGAGGCAATTTATCATGAACACACATCCCTGGACATTGCATGCAGAACCACACGTACATGTAGGTTATTTGCTCCGTAGTCACAGGGTACTGGTACCAGTGTTGTTGATCAGACTTGGGAGTCCAAGACCGAGACCAGGAGCACCGAGACCGTAAGGTTTGAGACCAAGACGGAGACCTAACCATCCAAGACTGAGACCTCAAGACCTTGTGTTTAAATTGCATAATTCAAATAAATGCAGAACCTAAGCAAAATGAATAAAGCAGCACAATGGTTACTAAGTCTGGTTTAAAGAAAGCATTTGTCTTGCTCCTTGTATGTGCTGCCAAAGCAGCACAACATAAGAATTAATCTTCAAAGAAATATTATGGGGACAGAAAGACAGCTTTAATGATGAGTGCAATTCGCGAGCTCCTGGATTTTTAAATTGAAGTCAATTCTAGCAGGCTTCATTACCTCCCCTAAATCATCCTAAAAACAAAACAAAGTTGTTAGATTTAGCCATATTGTGGAAGCTGACTGCTTACTCTGCTTTGGCATGGAAACACTCTTTGTGGTTTCTAAAACCAAATTTGATCACGGCTGATGTGCTTGACATCTGGAAAGACTACAAAATGCAAGGTGTATGCAAAGCGCAACCTTTGAACTTGCAACACACTCAGAGTTGAAAAATGTATTAGTCGCATACGCAGCCGGCCCCAGCACAAACCAGTAGTTATTACAGTGGTCTTGCAGTCATCCTGCGCACATGCACACCGGTAATTAAATCCAAGGTTGAAATCATGAAGTACATACGAATTCGTGAATTAGGTGGCGTATAATATGGTGTTGATCTTTGTGTTTTGAGTAGTCTCGACCCAAGACTAGGGAAAATATTGAGACCTCCAATATCCGAGACCAAGATCAAGACTGAGACTGCTGAGTATCGAGACCAAGACTGCCAAAAACTGGTCTAGAGACCTACAACACTGACCAGTACATCAGATAAGATACATGTACTTATCACAGGTTACTGTTGATGATTGAGATTGGGGTCTGCATCACATTTGGTGCAGTACGGTACTGCTTGGTCTGGTGGTGATGCTGATTTCGGGCACCCCAGCCTTGTGGGCCACGCACTGTGTCTCTGGTACCGGGCACCCTGATGCGAAGTGCTAAAAAATTTTTTATTAATATAACTTTCAATAAAACCTGCAAGGTTTGTGTAACACTGCCATTTCCTTTGCAGTTTGCTTTCAGACAAATCATAACACTCTTGAGGTTTGATTTGTTACAGCTATAACATGTGTATCAGCAATGCAGATGATCGAAGTCTGTTCCGTAAGATGGGCATACATTACGTAGTGTTTGATGAAGCTCATATGCTCAAGAACATGCAATCCCAGCGCTACAAGTTCCTCATGAAAATTAGGGTGAGAAACACTTTATGAAGCCTGGTTAACGATATGAATTTGAGGGACTTGGCATCAGATAATTAGGCATTGAGTGCCTAAAACTGAATCAATTCAGACAGGTCAGGAATTCAATAATCATTTGGTTGAATATTTAAATATTAAGTAATAATATCTGCCATGAAATAATGTATTAATGAAACAGTTGCCGTGGTTGCTGTCTATTAAGGAAGAAGTGATTTAACATGTGCAGTTGAGAGATTTTGTGAATTTGTCACATTTGAAAATTACATCACACATGACTGAAGTGAAAGTTTTTCAGTAAAGCAAATAAAAAGTTAGCATGTACTGGTAGGATTCTGCTTCTATGTGGAATAAGTTGAAAAGTGTATAATGTTTATGTAAAGATTCTTTTCTGTGTGAATAATTATAAATGTGACAATCAAATAGCAATGGCATCCAGAGATAAATCTCTTTTACATATGTGTGTCTCATTAACAGGCTGAGAGAAAATTGCTTCTGACCGGTACTCCACTTCAGAATAACTTGAAGGAGCTGATATCACTCCTTAGTTTTGTCATGCCTCATGTGTTCTGTGACAATGCAGCTGAGCTACAGAAGACATTCAGTCTAACTGTGAGTTTGTATGATGGAGAATATGAAGCAGTATGATATTACACTGTGTGCCTTCAGGCAATTGTTCAGACATGCACTATTATGGCTCCAATGCAGTAGAACTGTTTCAAGCGTCTCCATTACAGTTCAACATTATCCCTGTGAATCACTGTAACTATACTGGATGCAACTTTTACAAGGACTCAAAACATTCATCTCTCCTCTTGATTTGACTTCCAGTGTATTTTTAAGTTGGGATTTTATGTGTTATTTGGCAAGTATTTTAGTGTAAGTGTTGGTCACAAATGCTTATAAAGACACATTCAAGAGACAGGCCACCACACATTAGAGTGGGCCGAGGGCCAATGCACCAGTGACTGGCTATATGAAATAACCGCTGTACTAAACAATTTTTGAGGGGATCCCATAAAGTTCATTGCAGTGGTGTCGATTGCACTGGCAAGTTCAACTGAAGCTTGTACTTTTGTACAGGTGCAGTTTATCATTTGTAGTTATCCATAATGTAACTGACAAAATTGTTGTTGAAAATCATACTTAAGACGGTCATGAAATTAACTGCCCTGTGAAATTACTCTTTCTGGCAAGCTGTCATTCTGAAGCAAACGGTGAGAGAAGGCTTTTCCAATGATGCATCAAAGATGCAGTTTGGGAAAATTGCCATTAGAAGCTCACGTAAGACAAGACCTTAAACTTCATCAGGTTTGTTCCTAGGCATTTTGAGTAATTTTGTTGCCTCAAGGAACATAATGCACAAATGATAAATGATGTACTGTACCTTTAAAACAATATTCTTATCAGCGTTGTTAATCCATGCTGGTGAATAAAGGTGGGGATGGCAAAATCCTAAAAGAAAATGTGGGGTGTATTAAATAGGGGGTGCTGTTAATGACAAAGATTTATCATTCTCGTGTGCCCTAACCTTATACGGAAATAGTACTTGAAAAGTTTATGTACCATTCATTTTAATTCTAAAGTTTGAAAATCTTGCTGTTGGGCTGTCTGTATGCAATATCTGTTTCCAACTAAGGGGGAAGATCAAACCGCCCATCCCCCTTGCCAAAAATTGGGAATTACATCATCCCATCTCCCTTGATTGGCATCCCCATTCTTTTGCAGTTCCTTTTCTGTTATTTCTGAATTTCTTTTCAATTTTCAGAAACAAAAGAGTGACGATCCATTGAAGCAGAGTAAATTTGAGCGTGAACGGATAGCCCATGCTAAGCAGATCATGCAACCATTTATTCTGAGAAGAGTCAAATCAGAGGTCAGTTTACTGTCAGTGGTGTGTGCTTGAAAGAGAAACTCACCTGCAGCACATTGTTCACTTCAGGTCCAAGTTCCCTTAATGTCCAACTTCAGTCATAATGTATCTTCATTAGATCATGGAGGAAGGACACAGGAGTTTGAACTGCCCGGGCTATAACATCTGGCCAATTACTGCTTTCTGGCATGCCTGGTATGTCCATAGCCAGAGCGCAGCACATGCTTGCTATGCACCACCCGTTTTGCAACCATAAGCCCCCTTTGTACCCCATGATCATCGCCGCAATTTTTCGTTGGTAATCTGCATCCCTAAAACATTGTGTACTGCAGTATAGGAAGTTGATTATTCATGCCATCGTTGGTGCTTGGTATGAACTGACAACAACAAATTTAATGCTCACAGTTGCTTTTATTAGGCTGTGTACCTGAAGTGTTCATGTGCAGTTGTTCCCCTTATCAAATGCTTTCTTCTGGACTCCTTTTGAGAATAAATAGCCAAGCTTTCTGTAAGATTTTGAGTTTTATTTGAATCATTTTTATTACGGAATTTACACAAAAAGGTATTTTATGAGATCTCATGATCACTCCCTGTGATGAAACAGCGCATTTTGTTTTTTGTGAACTTAACTGTCCTGTGGTGTTCAACATGTTGGCCAGTCTTAGCCAAACTCGTGCAAAGAATTTTAAAACTGATGTTTTGGAGTGACAAAATAAAATTACAAACATTGCATGGATAATGGAAAAGGGCATCAAAATCCTAAAAAAAAATTATTCAAAATGGCAAAAGTAAATCAAATGTTAGATAATTTTCTTTCTGTTTCCTGGTCACTGCGATAGGTTGTTGTTAATTCCAAAGAAAACACCACAAATATTGTTACGATTTTACTGCCCCACTTGTCTGGCTAAGCTGCAGGCAGTAATCAGGCATTTTGAGAATGTTTACTATTGTTCGTCCGAGCATTTTAATGTGCCAGAGTTGTAACTCCTTGTGTGTCCTTCCTCCATGATTAGATTTAGAGTACAGTATGTCTTGAGAATAAGATTACCATGAATGAGAACATTGTTACAGCATAACAAAAAAAAGAAATTGGACAAAATTGGAGTGTATGTTAAAACTGTATGTTACCTTCATGATATACCTTGAAAAAATACATTTTGTCTAATTTCCCCTGAAAAAGTTCTCTTGAAATATTGCTCTGAGAACAAAAGGCTATTCTCAGAATGATGCTCAAAATGCAGACCATTCTTTCAACTTTTCTTTACTTTTTTAAGAAGTTCTGAAAATGATCATAGCTTCTTAATGTCAAATAGATTTTATTTTTCAATATATTGAGGTTTAAATGTTGACCGCTGTAAAGTAGTTTACTGGACGTTTACACCCACACAAATGACTGTCTGGTGGCCACTCTAATCTGACAGGCAGTCTCCATTGACGCCCGAATATTGCAGCCAGGCTAGCCGCCCAGTAAAAAGAGCCCAGATTGTGCCATGTTGCATAATTTCCTTTGTTCCCAAAATTGGCCCAGTGCGCTGCTGGATAATCGTGAAGTGGTGCTGTGTCGCTCATCGCTGGAGTGCTGGAGAACTTTTGTCCCCGCTGATAATCCGCGGGCCCTGAATGCTGCAAACAGTGGTATACTGTTTCAAAACAATGATGGATTACCTCTGCTAATGCCAGCTGAAAAATTATGGCAATGCCCAGCAGCTCAGTCTTTTGTTCTGAATACGGTCTTTTGTTACAAGGGCCAGCTCCTTTGTCCAATTTCGGGCACCCTGGCTATGCGTACAAACCCAAGGTACCCGGTACCAGGAACCCTGGAGGCAAGTGGTAATAAGTAGGACATTAAGTGGGAGGCCTGGTTTTGGCTGGAGCATCCAGGGTACCGGGAACCCTGGAGGCAAGTGGTTATAAGTGGGTCATTAAGTGGGAGGCCTGGTTTTGGCTGGAGCATCCAGGGTAATGGGAACCCTGGAGGCAAGTGGTTATAAGTGGGTCATTAAGTGGGAGGCCTGGTTTTGGCTGGAGCATCCAGCCATTCCTCCAAATAAGACGCTTTAATATTTATGTTACACTCAAAAGTTACATGTAATTCGGCTATCTGTGAACACTTGTGTTACCAGTTAGCGCATATAACTTCATGTTTTAACAAACCAATATATTCAGTGTGCAAATGTGAAAGCCCAGTTGTCTCTGTCTCCTACTTGCACCAGATTTTTTTTAAACTGCAAGAAGCTGTACAACTTGCCTATTGGTTCCTGTGGTTCACTTGTATTTGAATAGCCCACTTCTGCTTAGAAACAGTGGCATGTATTCGCTGGATCTATTTCTGGCTAGCAACCAACTCTAAAATGGCAGTGGTAAAGGTGTCTTATGAAAGTTTGACAGGCCTTCTACTGGCAACTTCCATAATGCAGTCTCCCTTTTGTGAATGCACTCCCTACCTAGATTAAAACTTGCAAGTATGCATGGGAACAATTTAGTAGCTAGCATCTTTAACTCTCACATGGACCTTCTTGTGTGCTTGGTTAACAGCAAATATAGCCTCTTGGCACGTGATGATGAATAGACCAATGAGAGTTCCGCTATCAATCGTGAATATGTATGAGATATGATAACACGCAAATTTCATTCGGTACCTTTATTTTATATAATTTGTTAATATAGGTGTTGAAGCAGTTGCCCTCCAAAACTGAATGTGTTGTGAAGTGTCCAATGATCAAAAGCCAGGAGGACCGCTACAATGAAATCAAAGCTATGCTGTCAAGAGATTTCTGCAGCCTAGGTGGTGGGGCTAAGATGGAGATGACAAAACTATCCTGTGCCATGATGCAACTGCGTAAAGCAGCCAACCATGAAGTGTTGATGCGTCATCATTATGATGATTCCACACTACAGCAAATGGCCAAACTCATGCTAAAGGTAAAGAAGTATGTTTCGTGGTATGTCTGTTTCATTTGGCAAAATTATTTGGATTTCTTTTCTCAGAGCAGGTTTACAGTTTTTAAACTATTTTGTCATTTTGGTCTTTTTCAAATTACCTGAATGGGGAAGGAGATTCAGAAAAATATTAGGGATTGGGGGTAAACAGCCTTATTTTTTCAGAAGATTAAAAAACTGCAAAAAGTCCATGAAAAAAAATTCTCTCAATTGATATCCCTTTGCAATCGGCATGTGGTACAAATAACTTGAACAGGTTACTTGTAGGGTGCATGTTGATAACTGTCTGTAGTTGCTACCCACAAAGGTTGATTAGCAACCATGCTCGGTCCAACCAATCAGTGCCTTCACATGAATAGATTTTGCATTGACAAAGTAAAACAATTTATATGAGAGATACCCATAATGAGTATGTCTACCAGCACTTTCAATTCTAAAGGTCTAGATAAAAAGCTGTTTTTTAAGAGTTATAAATGGGTTGCCAACAGTGGTTTTTTACTCTGAAGAAAATCTTTTATTCTAACATGACACACTGTGCTATGTCGTCGCAATGTTTTTCTCCCCTTAGAAATGTGTACATTTTCACCAGGACTGAAGATGCCTATTATAAGTGTGTCATAGCCAAATTCATAACAAGAGTCAAATATATTCACAAACTGTAACGTTTAACAGTAAGTTTAGGGTTCATTTTTGTGAATGTTTGTTCAGAAATGTGCTCTGAATAATTCGAAATGCATTCGTACCAGGAGTATGTACTCATGTGACTGACGTGACCTTTGTTTCTGTGACAAAATTTACCAACCAATTAAAAAGAGACAGTCAGTGTTTGAGACAGTCTTCAGATTCGTAGTGTCTATGGTGGAAATTGCAAATAATAAAGTGAATGTGTAATTTTAAGTGCAAAGGTTCTTATTTGTGGCTAATAGTTCTCTTTGCTAATTGTGATACTTTTAAAATGTCTTTTTTGGACTTCTTGTTGGCAGCACTAATTATACTCCTACTCCAGATCACGCGAAGAGCACCCATCATCTTCCCCCTTGTCCACCCTAGAGTATATTTGGGAGTACAATTTTTGAAACTTTCCACATCACGTACATGTACAGTGTGTACCACAAGAAGTTCAAAATTGCTTACCCTTTTACGGGCAGGTCCATGATATTATAAAGTAGGGGGCTTGACTTGAAAAACAAAAGATGCAG